GCTCTCCTTAATAATAAGTTTTGTTCGTTTTTTTTTTCAAAATTCAATTATATCTCAAGTGTTTTTATCTTTAGATTTGCTTGCATGTTGCATTTTGGAATTAGATTGTTATCACAAAATTTACATTTTTGATAGAATTTAAATATCATAGAATATGAAGTTCAATTTATTAAATTGCTGTTGTGCACAATTCATAAAGATTATTTCACTGAGAAAAAGAATTCTTCAATTAGATTCAAAACTACAAAAAAACTTAAGATTGATTAAAAACAAATAAAGATCCAAGAATTAGAGAAAGTTTCTCAATAAATAAGATTAACAATGGTGGTTCCATTTTGCATCATCACGTGTATCCCAAACAATAGTCCCTTTTGTTATGAGATTATTTCAACAACAATGAGATGTGATTTCATTCAAATATCTGAACATCATTGATCAATCATAGAACAGCTTATGCCAAATATAACAAAACAAAACAAAAGATACAATCATTGAAAATGGATCAAGAAGATAATCTCCAATTCTTTGAAAGATGAATTAATGTAAAGTTTCAAATTAAAAGTTAAGAAAGCAAAGGATTTCCAACATGAGAAAAGAAAGAAAATAAAAAATCACTTTAGTCCTCTTCACATCTGCCTGCTTATCGGAAGTTGAAAATCTCACTTGAGAACACAAAAGTTATTGAAGGAATCACGAAGCATCATGTGCGCGTGTTGAATTCAGGGGAGCAAAGAAAAAGAAATGGAAACAGATTGAACTGAATTATCCATTTCGACAATTTCGGTACGCAAATTGGATCCTTTTTTGGTTTAATGGCTTTTACGCTTTCAAGCTTGTGTCAGCCTGTTCTTTTTTTCTTTTCATCCACTCGTAAGCTCTTTTTTTCTCCTCGCTCAGTAAAAATGATGTTGAACTATAGACGCAATGTGGGCCCTTTACGACCTTTCATTTATCTATGAAAGCTGAGGAAGAAAAAAAAAAGCTTTTCTCTCTTTTTCAGATGCAAATCCTTTGAGGCATCATCATCATCATCACTACTTTTGTATTCGCAATATCATTTTATTTTTTGTTGCTTAGCAAAGTACAAAATCTGAGAAGAGAATTTTACGCCCATTAAAGCTTCAAGCAATGAATAATACAGATGCTGGAGGTTTCTAGAAATAATCGAAATTAAGATAAAGAAAAGACTTCAATTTGAGGTTTATGGTTGATTTGAGGTAAATCTAAAATTTTTTTGACAAAATTCGGTAATTTTCAAAATCTTAAAAATGACAATTCTGCACTTTTTAAAAAATAACTAAAGAACAAATTGCCATAAAACTTGTCTTACAGCTGAGACAATAAAATCTACATAGAGCACATGGGAACTTTTCTTTTCTACTTTTTCATGGCTCATTTGCCTTTACAGCAACAATTCTCATCTATATTTTATACTACTGATAAACAACTAGATTTTGAACCATATGAAATGATAATTTGGCAAATTTTTACAATAACTTTAACTTTTGCTTCCTTGTTACTGCTGCATAAACCAAGAATAAATAATCACAACAGCATCAATTAAAGTGCCATTTGAATTGTTATAAAAAATAATCCAGTATTAAAGAAGAGTTAAAATCATGCCTTATTTGCTGTTTTAATAAAACTTTCCAGATATCCTCTGCAGTTTTTGTCATTTAGAATTTACATAACAAGAGCACTACCCTGCTTGATTTAAAATTCATATTACAACTTCACACAAATAAAGCAATCCCACATCACACGATAGTTCTTCCTTAACATTATCATTTCATCTTAAAACTACCACTAGACATGACCTTCACATCAGCATCACAGTGAATCTTTCGTATGTTTAATAGTATGAAGCAATGTAAAGTGAGAAAAAAAATATCATGAGTGATAATGAGGGTATGCTTATGAGACTAATCTTTGAACTAAAAGCATGTATATATTGTGACATACGATGACCTTTCCCTCGGATATTCTAATGGTAAAGAATGGTTAAAAGAGCAAAAGAGGAATGAAATTGAAAAAACTGACGAAATTTATTTTGAAACTTGTTAAAACTATGAATTTTTTAATTTTAAGTTCTATCCATTGGAGCGCATTTCAAAGCTCAACATTTTGAAAATTATTATGAAGAAACTTTAGAACACAACAATTGTCCTTCAATTCTAAGGAAAAACAAACAACAAGTTAAAGTACTTGAAGAACATTTCATTCTCCACCTATAGCACTAAAACTTTAATCTTCCTTAAACAACTTTTATTCAAAGAAACTTCATGTTTTTTGCATGCATATTGTGTAAATTTTTCTGACAACTTGACATGTTTCTTCATAGTCAAGAACATTAAGAGATAAAAAGTAAAAGAGTTTGTCATCATTCAAGGCAAAAAAATTCTTCCTTCTAGTTTTTTTGTAGTGCTATTCTTCGCTGTTAGAGCTCAAAGAGTTAGAGATGAATATACTAAATGAAATTTTGTGACAGCCATTAGATGAAAAAAGAATGAGAATGTGCAGCTTATTTTGTTGTCAAGTGACATTGCAATTTAATAACAACTGGCAGACTGAAGCTTGGATTTGAAAAACATTATTAAATTGTACTACTCGACAGGATGATAAAAAGCAACTGTTAAGTTGATTTGTCATTTTTATGAATCAAAAAGTTCATCAGCGATAATTTGAACAATTGATCTTATCTACAAAATTCACAGCTATTGAATAAACTAATTTCTAGTACTTCTCATTGATTGACATCTCTAATACTGTGCCACTCATAGAAATAATTGAATGGTTTTGAGGAAAATCAAGTAATCAAATATTTGATTTTTCAGATTTGTATGAAATTTCAAATATTCGATATTTGATTTTCCTCAAAACCATACAAATGCTAATATTTTTTCTATGAGTGTGTATGTGTGGCTGCTGAATAAATCAAAAGTAAATCTTTTTGATGGAAAATCAGTTCAACTTTAGTTTTGTGAAATATTTCATGCACTGAATAATAGAAGTGCTCTTTATTGGTTTGATCTTCACACAAAATCCATAAACTTCATGGTTCGAAAGTTTATTAAAAAAACTTACTCGATAGTATCCCCAAAGTGATTTTATATATATGTAGCAATAAAATTTTAATAAATGTAAAACTTTAATTTTTTGATTAGTTTAAATTCCAACTGGAAGCATAAAACGAAACCCCAAATCAAGCGTAAATGGAATTTTTATATTATCTAGAAATCTTATTGACTGTTGCTACTCATACAAATTTTTAATTGTATTCTGCATTGATTCATTAATAATTCATGCAAGTAAGACTGGATGTAATGAAAAGTTTTTTCATTAAAATTTGATGCTATAGATAATAAGTGTGAAATGATTGTAATACTCTCATAAGCTTCAGCGCACTGGAAGAGATTATTTTTTTCAAACTTAATTTTAATTTATACGCACAAATATCATACAAAACTTTCAGAGTAAGCACAAAACCAGAAAGAGGTTTATTGGCGGCAAACAAAAAACAAAAAACTTTTTCAATTTTCTTTAATGGCATTAAAGTGTGAGGGAAGAAAAAATCAGTTTTATTTAAAAAGCACAGAAAATAGTAAACGAAAAAGTTTTATGTGTGTGATGATAGTTCAAGCTATTAATACTCTTTTGTTTATAAACTAATGTTAGCTTTTATATCATTTGAATGTTCAATTATGGAAGAAAAAAGAGATCGTAAATTTAAATCCAAAATTGTTCGAATTAAATTTTATCCAACAGTTTAAACGAAATTTCAGGGAAAAATCGGAAAAATCCCAAAAATGCTAGATTGAAAAATGTCAATTGACATATTCAAAAGGAGTTAAAGACAATTGGAAAAAATTCCTTAGCAAGTGTATTAATTTTGGTACAATGAACGCTCAATACTTTATCTAGATCCTGCTTTTTGGGCATTGAACGCTGAATAGTTTGACTAGAAAAGAATTAAGTTTCCTGCTTTTTGGACATTGAACGCTGAATAGTTTAACTAGAAAAGAATTAAGTTTTTGTTTTGTTTTCATTTGGCCATTCTGGAAAAATCTCGTGACACACCAAAGTGTCCTAGACCAAACCACATGAACATTAAAATTAAATAAAATTGTCAAATCACTCTCAATTTTCTATTAAATCCATAAGAATAAGAGCTTTAAAATGCTCATTCAATCAAGACTGAGTATTTGAAAGGGAAAAGGAAAAATATTTTCCAACTGAAATGCTTAAACTTTCCCATGACTGGTCACTTTTTGAATGACTTGACTTGATTTAACTCTTTACAGTTTTTGTGTAGATAAATCAACCATAAGTTCTTAATCCTATCCATAAAAGTATACATCTACATTCACATAGATATAGAAAGTGAAATATTTGAAAATTTTCCTCATGATTCTACAAAAATCAAATTAAATGTTTTATCATCTTTCCCTCAAATGTCCTTCATTGAATGCACATGAATGATAATAGAGAATGGGTTTAAATATTTGGAAGTTGGTAGAGCATGAGAAAATGGAGTTGATAACTTTTGAATTAAGTTCAAAATAGTTTCAAATTTGTTAATTAGATTTCTTGATTTTCAATTTTGATATTTGAGCTGTTCTTCATAACAACCTCTAATTAGATTAATTTTCAATTAATTACAGGGCCTGAAAATAAAAGCTATATGACATAAGTTGATTGATGAAAACCAATAATTATCGATTAAATACTGATTATCTAAATGGGAGTATTCGGATTTGATGTCACTTTACAGAAAACCTTACAAAATTCAAAAATTTGATTCAAATTAGTGACAAATGAAATTTTTAAAAAATTAATACTGATCAGTTATCAGTCATCTAAACTACTACATGACCTGATTTTACAATCATAACACACTGATATCACCAAATCATAGATTCGATCAAAGTATAAAAGCTCACAGCTTTCCTCATTTTTGAAAAAGTTGATATTTAGAACGATTGCAAACTAGACGAGTCAAAATGGGTTTAAAATATTTTTTAATAATTACGGCAATCTCAAATTTTCTGTACTTGGAAGCAAATGCTAAAGCTGAAATTATTACGGGGTCCCGTAAGATATAACCTCAAAATAATAATTTAAAAATTTCTTTAATTTTGTAAAATCCACAGATTATGAAAATTGTACAGAACCTGCAAAAAATATGCGAGCTAATATTATAGATGCAACACAGCTTAAAATACATTCAGAAAATGACACACACACTTTTCTTAATGGAACTGTAAAATTTCGAAAGGGATTTGAAGTTTTACCAGGCCGATTTTATGCAGAAATGTTTGATCGTGGTCAGTGGTTTATACAAGCATTTGATAGATCATATCCTGATTTGTGTACAGCATTTCGTGATCCAACCCAACCATTTTATAATTACTGCAAACACTTTCCAATGTGTCCACATAAAACTGGAGTAAGTTTATTGCTTAAATTTTGAATTTTAAAAACCATTAATCTATTTTTCAACCAGTTTGATTGGAATTTCAAAATGAATTATTTAGATTCTTCTAAAGCAGTTCTTGAAAATATGCCAAGCCACTACATGGGAAAATGGCGAATGACAGTTGTTCTTGATTTTAAGATTAATAATTTACCTAAAAGTGATTGCTTAAGATTTCCTTTCGAAATTTTTGAAGTTTAAATTTTTTTCAAATGAAATTTCAATAAATCAAATTTAACATTTTTCAATTTAAAATTTTTTAACTTTTGAATTTTTTTCACTTAAATTCTTTTATTTTTATACTTTTGTGATTTTTGTTCACCAAAAAGAAAGAAAACAAACATGAAAAATAATTTAGAAGCTGATTTATGTACAAAGGAAGAATGAAGAAACAAAGTTAAAAAATGATAAATTAGACTTTTTAGACTGTTTTTGAACTTGAACTTTTTTTCAGAATGAAGGTTGAGGTTTGTTGTAAAAAAATTATGCAAAATGGGCAATTTGACTTTTTTATTGCTTTGATGTGCCTAACATATCATTTTTTATAGTTTCAACTGCCTAGAGCAATAACAATTCCAGTAAAATGCTTTTTTGGAAGCTTTTAAAGTTTTGTTTTAAAAAAATGCTGTCAATTATTTCAGTTATTGATTTTCATACTTATAAAAGGAAATTGTCTCTTGAAATCTAAAGAATCAGTTCTATTTTTTTAAAACAAAACCAATTTTCTCTTTCAAGCTGTTAAATTGTCTTTTTTAAAGAATAAAGATCCTTTATATTGTAAATTTTCGTAACAATTCAAAGCGATTATATTTATGTGTCAAAATTGTTTAAAATAATATAAAGAAATTCGTTGAAATGATGCTTTAAGTGCTTTTATTTTGTAGATTAACTTTTTGAGATCTCACATCCTTTACTGCTTTTAAGAGCATGTACGCATATTAAGATTATGAAGACAATCATGAAAATGCTTCTGAATGTTATTTAATTCGATTCAAATTTTCCTTTCTTATTTATTTAATGTTGTGAATTTGAATTCATTAGGAACATTTTTTTGCTTCAATGGGTGAAAAGATGCTTCGTTTCCTGCGTTTCTAAGGCTTTTTCAGAAATTTAAATTTTAAATTTATAATTTTTTGTGAACTTGAACTCATTGGAATTTTTAAGGAGTTTTGTTTTGGAACTTTTATGAATTCATTAAATTGTTCAAAAAAACCTTTGAAAGCTACCTTAAAATTAGATTTTATAAATAGCAGACATTCCCGTAACTTTTTATAGCTTTCATCATTTTTCAACCTTAATCATTCTTTTGAACTATTAATATCTATTTCTAGACTCGTTCTTTATATTATTTTATCTCTTTTTCTTACTTTAAATAAGTCTTGCTCTTATTTGTTTATCATCCAGAACAAGAAATGGGATATGGAACCTTAAAATATCCTTAGGGGATTGTAAAGTATTCCGTTTTTATTCGTTCATGTCTCAGTAAAAACAAAAGCAGAATTTCTTTATTCACATCCTTCATTTTTTTAACATCCTGTAGATTGAAATGTCATTCACTATAAAGGTTAAGGATGAGGTCGATGTTTGTAATGTCTGTTTATGACATTTGAAGGATTTCTCTTTTGGTGCTTTTTGTTGCTTTTGAATGCTTCATGAATGAAAAATCGCAGATCCTTACCATCCTTACCGTGGAAAAATACATACGATTGAAATATTTTTGTACTATTGACATATTGTATTTACCTTCCCAATTGATGTAAAAAATTGGAATAAATAAATCTTCAGATTTCTTTGATCATGAAATGGAAATAAATCTAAAAGTAGATAGAATGAGAATCTCATCATTTTAAAAAAAAAATGAAAATAAATCAAATGGATTTGCGTTTTAGAATTTTAACAAATAAAATCATACATGCTAGCTACTAAAGAAGCAAGAATCAAAAATGATTAGATGATGATCAACAGATTAAATTCAAGTTTTCAACAATACCAAATATTTTTTTTAGAATGAAAGTAAAATTTTTGACTCTAAATGCGCATGAGTAAAGTCCCTTATATTTTCGAAAGAGTGGGGTGATGCGCATTCATTGAAATTTGTTTAACTGTGAAGCTGTGAAAGCTTTTTCGAAAAGATTCCAAAGTGGAGGTGGTAAAGCTTTTTGAACAGTTGGTACTGATAAAGAATTTTTGGTAAGAGAGGGGGAACTATCAAAACTGTTGAAGCAGGAAGAAGAACTTTAAAATTCATGAATCATAGAATTAATTTGAGTTTTGATGCAAATAAAAAGAAATGTTTGAAAAATAAGATTTAATGCATCCAAACTTAAAATTCTCTGGTTTCTCATTTATTTTTTATTAATTAATTTAAGTTGAATGCACGTTACAATTATACATTTTCAATAAAAATGATTCAAACTAATGACAAAAATCAGAAAATATTGTTTTGACATTTCTTGCTTAAGGTAAAAAGAATCTTAATTAAATGATTATTTTCCGACGAATGCTATGAATGATGATGATGATGATGGGTTCCTATTGCTCCACTATGAAGCTTAGGGCGTCCACAAAGCATTTGAATCGCACTCGATTCTGGGCCAAAGCTGTGAATATCCAACAGTAATTTCTGAATTTTAAAACACAAATCCAACTTAATAACGAAACTTAAAAAATTCAAAACGATTTTAAAAACTTCAGGAATCATCCATCTAGTTGGCAGCACTAGTCACTTACTTTTTCTCTTATTCAGAAAGCAAAGTGCAAATCAAAGAAAAATTTGTTTTATTCTTTTGTTTATCTATATTCTATGTGAAAAATAAAACATTTCTCACTGTAATAAGTGCATTGTGGATGATAAGTGACAAACTTGTTTAAAAGTTGACAAACTTTTGTCAGAAGATTGTGAAATCATTGAGAAATTCCAGCAAAACACATAAAGTGAGTATTTTTATAGATTTTTTTTTCTTCTCTTTTCATCACTCAAATCAATTTATGGAAATTTTCTCATCATCGTCTAATCGACGAGAAAAATTTCTCTGCTAAAAAGTTTTCATTTCAATTAATTATCGTATTTAATTATTTTACCGCATCTGACAAAATCAACAGAAATTGAATGAACCAAAAAAATGTTGCGCAATTATCAAAAAATCAGATTAATTAACAGAAAATTCGCTGCTTTCATAATTCACAATGATCTGCAAATACATCTTTTGATTTTTTTCATTTTATTTTCATTGACTTTCATTGAATCATCAAAACTGAATCAAAAAAGATGAGAAAGAAAAAGAAGATACGAAAAAAAAATCATGAAAATAAAGTGAAAATTGAATAACATATGATGTGCTTATTTGTATACGTGAATGTTCAATGTTAGTGTGTACAAAATTTCTGTGTGCTGATTCAAAGCTGAAATTCATTGCTCACCCATATGATTTGGAATGTACAACGAGAAATTTGTCACTGTTTTAATGTTTTATGAAAAACTTTTTGAATGTGTTGGAATTTTCACATTGCTTTTGATAATTTTTTAAAATCATTTGTCAATAATTTTCTAGAAAATATTGAATGAATCTACAAAAATTTTTACCAGATGCAAATATGTTTTATTCGATTCTGCAATGCTTAAAACTTTTACTAAGATGTTCAATTTAAATTCGAATTTTTTCATATATCTTTTCAAGATGGAAAGCAATGTTGTTGATTTAATTGGTGGAATTTCCAATGTTTTCTGGAAGAATTCAAGCTTTTTTCACTAAAGTTTCAAATAAATTCTTTATCAAACAATAAAGTAAAAATTGTCATATTTACAATAAGCAATTAAATTCTTACAAGATTTTCAATAAGTTTATCAATATTTCTAATAAGAAAATTTCAAATGCTTTAGATATTTCATTGATCTCTAACATTAAACATTCAGCAAATGTTTCAAAGCAAAAATTTTCTTCTTACTTTTTATTCCTTCTTATTTGAAATTGAAAGTAAATATGATACAAATGAATCTAAATAAAGAATTCTGAATATTCTGATCAATTCTAAGTTAACATTTGATCATCATTTATTTGAATAATTATATAGTGAAACCACATGACTCCATTTTATTAAAACTTCATTGTTTTAATTGATAAAATTATGAAATTCAATTTTTTTTTCTACGAATGTTTACACTGATAAGCATCGAACAACTCCTCCCAATGTGCTCATTTATTTACATACAAATTTTTTTCCTATGTTTTCAATTTCACTTGAGCGATGTCTTTATTTGTGGACTTGTAAAGTTATTAAAAGATGTCTGTTTATCGATTATTTGAAATATTTATCTAGATCTACTTTAATATGCAGAAAATCATTGAATTTTTGAAACTTTGTTTTCAATCATTTTTACCAAAACCTAGTTCTAGTTTCGATATTTTTAAATACCTATAAATTTTAATTTTTTTTAAAAAATAAAAAAATGTGACGCAATATCTATCGTTCGCATAGAATTCCAATTCAGTACAAAAATGGTTTTGTGCTTGAAGCAAGAAGAACAAAATACATGAGTGTGAATTCTATTCTTAATTCGAGTGTTGCTCATACAGATAAGATGAACAGAAAATTTTCTTTATTGTATTTGTTGCTCGTTTTTTTTTTACATATGCGAATGTGTTAATTCACGCGATTGCTTACAATTCAATTTATTCACTTTTTTTTATTCGAGAATTTGTAAATAAAAAGTATCATGATTCTTCTTCTTGCTTTGCTTCTACTTCCAATGTTTTGTTATTAAAGCACTTACAAGCTACTTTTAGTTTATCTGAAGGTTGCGTTTATTTAATTTTATTAAACATTTTTTCGCATCCCAAAAAACTTGTACAAACATGAGTATGAAGGTCAACCCAATGGTAATGAGTCGAGACTTTTAACGCATTTAAATATTTAATCAATTTTGCATGCTAATTAATTCTGTATCATTCAAAGATTTTAGAATGTCTTGTCGATTTTTGGTTGTCTAGGTTTAGTCTAGGCTGGTCATCCTTTGATAAATTGGGAAATAGTCGGACAACACTTCTGCATCAATACATCTGAAATAGCAGAAATACAAAAACAGTCTGTCAAAAATCGATATTGATAAACATTATTGACTTCAATAATTATTATTCTTACATCGAAATGACAAAGTGCTCTTTATCGATTCATAAAAATTTCCAAACTCATTAAAACTCGCT